CACACACACACACACACACAGACACACATATACTCACGCACACACGCACACACACACGCACACAAACACACACACACACAAACACACACACACACACACACACTAATACTCACAAACACACTACAGACATAGACATACAAACAAACGCACACACATATACACACTCATACACATACACACGCACACACTCATATACTCACAAACACACTCATACACGCAGACAGACGCAAAACATCAAAGCACACCCATTAACACGGCATTGTGTAACGCATATACGATCATAAACCACACAAACACTCACCGGAGCTTATGTACGTTTCTTATAGTTATCTGGGGATGTGGGTATGCATTAAAATGCTCAGCAAAAAAAGGACAATAGACTATTTTTTATGTGTAACATAAGGCTCGCGTGCTGGTGAAAGCAGATTCCCTCCTCTCCCTTTATCCCCCCCCCACCCAATATCTCTCTGTCCTCTCTCCTCTTTCATTTTGGAACTGTCTTTTTTAACATGCCGTTTTGTCTATCTGTCCACCTGTCTGTCTCTGCGTCTGTTCCTTTTTCACGGTCGACGTACCTTCCGCGCCGTGGGAGCCACACGTTTTTCAACAGTCCATGTACAACACTTGAAACCATTCAATAGCCACGTGCACTAATTTTGAATTTACCAATAATCTCCCCCACCTTGACTCCCTCAATGGTACCATTATTCTCGTTGGTCGGGAACTTGGCATAATATGTGTGTGGCCTTTTATTTTCGCGACACAGTGTCTCTAAGGGGGAATTTCCAATATGATTCGCCTCTGGGCCGTGCTGGCTCAGAAGTCTTTCTACGCACTAATCTTATTTAACGCACGTGTTAAGAATATGACAGTTTCTGATTTGGCTGAGATTTATGGCGTTTTCATGAGCCACTACTTCAAGGTTGTCTCCAGGATGGTCTTGATGGTAAGGTAATAGAGCAGCCATATGCACCGAATTTCCTCTCGTTGCTCGCTTTTCTGGCAATTTGTGATCCTTCATTTGAGAGTCCGGTCTATACTAGCAGATTGAATGTCTTCATTTATGGCATGCAATATGAACTATTGTCTTCGCCTTAGTAAATATTAATTACATTCGTCTTACTTACACAGATCTTTAAACCTGTTTATAGAAAAGATTCAGTGATTATACGGCGTAGATCGGCAATTAGTGACCATGGGAAATTGGGAGATATATGACGCATTTTGAGTGAAATCAAGTTACTCGGTGTTAATTATCAAAACTTAATTGACTTTTTTGGAATCTTATGTTCCGCCGGGGAATTAACAGTACTGTATTGAGGATGTGTGTGCTATTTTAAAACTGCCAGTGTTTGCGATTCAAGACAACAGCCATGGACTTATAAATCGTAGTAAACAAGTTTTTTGAATTCACATAACATTCTTATGTCAAAATTGAATTAAGAATTTCTTCGAATGCCAATGCACGTCAGTCACAGACATTACCGTCTCTTCATGAAGACGTTTTGAATCGAATAACGCGGTCCTCCATGTAACAAGACGGGAACAGATACGAGCTTCAGTTTGCCGGCTTGAGGCGGGGTCGAATCACCGCTTGGATGCTTCCTTTCTCACCTCTCAAAACTCAAAGCAAGGAATTAGACGGACAATCGAACTCTGGAGTCTTCGCTACTCCTCCTCTGCCTTTTGTTCCAATGGCCCCGGCCTCCTGACTCCGGGACTAACAGCCCTCGCTCGGCCAAGCCTTCTTGGGGCCCCCTGGGAGGGCCCTGTCTTTGAGTGCATCCATCCAGCGACAGCGTTGGGACTTCATCTGAGAAAAGACTGGGGTCGCGAAGACTCACGTCTTTCAACTCTCAAATCTTCACACTGACCGCCGCAGAAGCCGGCGTGTTTTCTAAAGTCACCGGTTTAGGGAGCTCCCTCTCCCTCCTCGCTCTGCAGTTAATTCTACCTTTAAGATGCATTACAGTGTAACACAATGATTCCCGACACAAAGGGAGACAAATTCCATTGGCTCATCATACCACCACCCAGATAGAAATTGCACAGAAAGGAGGTATTATATTTCGCCCGCCGTGACAAATTCTGTTTCTACTTCTTTCTGGTTTCAGTCGTCATAGAAATTTTGCAGGAGACAGGAAGGCTGAAGAAAAAAAAGGAACCCTTACAGAGGTAAAGAGGTCATAGCGACTAATTATGCGTCATAACAGCCAGTAAATCTGCATTCTTTCCGGGGGATCTTTCAGACGCCTGGTGCATTGTCATGAGAAAAACACAAACTGTATTATGAGCGGCCGTGAAGGGAGGAGACGCAGCACTTGCGAGAGGGAGATAAGTGTGGCCCCAGGCCATCAGGGAGCACACCAGGCTAGACTGGACAGTCCATAGAATACCATAACGTCCCATTTGGACACCAAAAGAATCTCCCCTCTTTTCTACCAAGAGACCTTTCCTCAACAAAACGTCAACATAAAGGGGCAGGGACAAATGCTTAACAAAATGCGATGTTCACTCAGGGAAAAGGATCGTGTGGGAAGTTTGAAGCCAAGGCTTTTTCCGAGTGACACTGGCTCGCTGGGGGTAAAATCGCCGTTTACGAGCATGACCACCGGTGTGGGCCCGTCGCCGCTCTTCTCCATAATGTGGTCACTATTAATGCTCCGTATAGTCTTAACGTCACGAGAGCGAGACCAATAAGAAGAGCATCATTCGCGCCGTCTCATTATTTTTTAAGTGTTAGAGAGGCTGTTCATTAAGTACCCATCCTGTTTAACGACTTCAGTTAGCTTGACGTTGAAAAGGTAGAGTTATTTTGTCCCTCTTATAGACGAATGAACATATTTTGTAAGCAGCTTTTCTTTTGTTTGAGGTGGCTAGGAGAGTTTGTACAGGGCGTGTTGACACGAAGCTTGATCTAAGTTAGGCTCGGTTTTTAAAAAACCCACAACTAGTACAGAATAAAATAATGCTCTTCCACCAAAGTCACTGAAGTTTACAGCTTTCTGCTTTCATTTATAAGTGTTTGTGGTGTTGCTACCAAGCACTGCCCACAAGAAAGACAGTCGTGGCGTATATGGGAGAAGAAGGCTGCACACGAAATGAAGTGTGGAAGAGCGTGTTACTTAATAGAGACCAAGCGTAAAAGAAGTGGGTGTACAATGTCTCCTTCAATGGCTGTAGCGTGATCACAGGAAATTAAATGAAAACAACACGAGGGCCAAACTGTAAGAGATAACACTGAGGTCGCGACACCCGCAGAAGACGACTGCCCTCTCCATGCACCAGCGCTATCCCTTTCTTCGATTGTCTTCAATAAACATAGCTTGCATGTTTACCTGGCACTGTAGAGTCAGAATATATAACACTCTTATAACAACATTCAAAACGATTCCTTCTTCGTACATATTATAGCTCTCTTGGAGATTATAATCTGGTATTTAAAAGAAGAGCCCGTTCACAACTTATAACCTTCACCCCCGTCCCTTGAATAGAACCACCCTCCCGTAACCCCACCCATGCAAAATCACATACATACTTGTATTTTGTCTTAAAATAATATAAATGTGTATAAATATACATTCTATACGTGTGCATATGATGAGTACACACCTAATAATACACAGACCGCCAATTTATATACCCATACCCAGCAAAACACGTGGGTGTGTTTTGTGAAGAACCCCGTTTCTCACGCGCCCGAATTTGCAATAATAGAGGAGGACTAGTGTGGGCCGAAGTAAGAGCATAGTCAAGTCTTGAAATTTTATTTGTTGCTTATATCATTTTTTCTTCTCTCCTGCAGGTTGATGGTGCTTCATCTGAATTTCTCTCATCGATAGACGCGGACTTACTGAGCAAGATAGAGGATAACCAATTTGTTGGCGGTCGCCCGTTTGTCACGAATCAGAAACTCGTCTCAGCGTGCAGTGAAAGACTTGTACAAATGAGGTCGCAGAAGAAAATCGACGCCAGGGGCGACGCCAGGAGCGTTTTGAGTAAGTTGTGACTACTTTTTTGACATTTGACGCTTTACTGAACACTTATCGAAGCCATTCAGAAGTGAAGTACCAACAGAAATGTGTTACTCTTTGAAGGACGAGGAAGTAACGACTACACCCTTCCCCCTCTACTCTCAGACAAAACAACAATTTTAGTGTAATGCTCTTTATCTCTACAACTCTGTCAGTGGAAATGGCTGGCCTTCATTCTGGCTTCATATATCCACCTTCTCAGTTTTCAAAAGGAAATAATAATTGTCCTACACATTCTACCCCAAAATAGAAGATTCTGCTCAGATGTCTGTGAACCAAAGAGACATACCGGTAATAAAACCTAGGGGAGGGGTTGAGGAGGAGGAGGGGGGTGCTTGGTATAAGGATAACAGTTCGAAACAGCCTGGCGGACACACAGACACAAACGGTACCTAGATTTGATTCATTGTATTGAACGCTAGTTCTCAACAGGAGTTCGTTTCTCATAACGTCGCTCTAAGAATCACGCGTGCGCTGGAACAAAAGCTAACGTGTGAAAATCATTGCGAATTCCCGCTGTCTGAATACTTCGTTCGCGTATGCCTAATTCAAAACGTGAATCACGAAGAAAGTGTTAATAAATGCTGGTAAAGCATCGTTCCTGAGACAGATCAAAGCTCGGCCTGACGCCACATTTATTACCCAAATCTACAGTTCTAGAGGTTGTGATATTTTTTGCCTTTCTCTGCTCCTGCTTCGTGGGTTTTTTCGTGTATCATTTTTGGTGCCTCTGCTCTCTCTCTCTCTCTCTCTCTCTCTCTCTCTCTCTCTCTCTCTCTCTCTCTCTCTCTCTCTCTCTCTCTCTCTCTCT